ACCTCGAAGTGGGATGCTAGCAACCACTTCATGCCCAGCAGGAGCTTCATGTGCTTCGCGGACTGGCGCTTCCTCCACCATACCTGCCTCAACTGCCTGCCTCTGAACGGGGCCGTGCACTTCAGTCACCGGGAAAAGAGGTGCCAATGGTGCGGCTACGTGGCAGAGACCCTCCCCCATGTGCTGTGCAGCTGCAAGCCACACGCCAGAGCCTGGCAGCTCACCACAACGCTGTCCAGGACCACCTAGTGAGGGCCATCCCAGCCACGGCGGGGGAGATCTCCGTGAACCGCACCGTCCTGGGCTGCGAGAGCCAGATGCGACCCAGCATAGTCATCACCAATGAAGAGGCCAAGAAAGTTGTGATTGTGGACATCACCATCCCCTTCGAGAACCGGCACCAAGCCTTCACCGACGCCCAGGCTCACAAGTGGGAGAAGTACGCCCTGCTGGCCAACACCCTGAAGGGCCGCAGCTATGACGTGATGGTCGACGCACTCATCGTGGGAATGCTTGGAGCCTGGGACCCCAACAACAAGAGCATCCTGCATGCCTGCCACGTCTCTTGCCGCTACGCCAAGCTGATGCGCTGCCTCATGGTGTCTGACACCATCCGTTGGTCCTGCGACATCTATGTAGAACACATCACGGGCTACTGCCAGTACTCCGACCCCACCAGACGAGCCGCTGCTGGACCAGACCCAGAGGGGACCACCGGAACCACCCCACCTCTGCACCAGACGGACCTTCATTTCAAAAGGATTCTTCAACCACGGACGACCCCGCTTCACCCAAAGAGGACCCCTGCAGTGAGACTCTATATGGACTGAGACACTTCTCTCTAACCACTTCCTCCACCATTGCGGACCATTGTAATGGGTTTGTGTCTATCTATCTCCTTTCTCTCTCAGCATTGCAAACCCCCTCCCTCCCCTTCCCCTTTTCCCCCATCCCCCACCCCTGGGCTTAGTTGGCTAACACTGTATATCCTGTAACCTAGTTGCATTCCCCTCCTCACCCCCATCCCTCTA